ACGATCGCAGTACGTCCATAGACGTTCATACTGCGTTCTACGCGTTTCCACCACGCTCTTAGAGCGTAGTACGAGCGTAGTGGGATCGGGGCCTGGTGTGACGGGGGTATAATGGAGGACTTGGCAAAAACTTGTGTGTTTGAGATATTTTGTAATTGAAACTGAAATAATATAAATAAATAATATTTGACATCATTTTAATTTGGTTGTATAAATATGGCTTCAAATGTAATGTTAATGAGTGGTATTTCTTGAAATTGTTATGACGTGGGTGAAAATTGGGCAAAAGGGTGGTAGTTGTTTTTTATTAATAGTATTTGTACGTATATAATATATACTTGTATAATTTTTTAGACCAAAGCTGTGCAGAAAGCCATGGATGAGCTGAACTTTGAACTTGCACAACGACTTCGTGGAAAGTAAGTGGAAGATCTACCATATATACTTGAGTCATTCATACTATAGGGATTGAATTCGTCACGGTGGTAAACAATGTTTCTTGGCAGTGATAACCGTATTTTATCGACTAAAACTTTATACCATATCAAACTTTAAATCACAATAAACACAATTATAGACTTAGTAAATCATACTGTACAGTATGGTTTTCTAGTGGAACTAATATAGCAGGCCTGTGAAAGGTGTAGGCGATGATTTAATAAGGTGTCATGAGACTTGCATTGACTGCAATTGTGCATGTTCTGTAAATTATGCAAATAATTGGAAATGCTTAATGTTTATACGTGCAATTAAACAATATGTGTTCTTTTAGAAGTGCAGTGTAAGAGTTATATTTCTGCGGGTTTTTTAATCTAGGAGCTTTATGAACAACCTGGCAGCCTACCGAAAATTGAGCAAAATTCACCCACCACAATACTTGATCGAGAATAAAGAGATGTGTAAGGTACGTATATATATACTAGTGATGTCACGATCATCGATTATACTCGATCATCGGTTGAACAGTGGCTCGAACCAAGCGCTTAGTGATGTCACGATCATCGATTATACTCGATCATCGGTTGAACAGTGGCTCAAACCAAGTGCTTGGTTATCAAAATCCATAATCGATTTCATCAAAAAAAAAAAAAACTTGATAAGAAAATTTGGAAAAGTGATGAGAATCAGAGATATCATCGCTACTATACAAGTTATCCTTTATTAACATACATGTATTATACACATAGTAGTAAACAGTGCAAAACAAACAGTAAACAGGGCTAAACAAGCACATACATGCACACACGTACATGCACGCGACGTTACGCACACGCAGGAATTTAACACCCCGAGTAACCGATTGTAACCGATCATCGGTTACTTGGGTCCAACCGATGATCGATTACGAAATTACAACCGATTGACAACACTAATATATACACACTAGCTACATAGCTTATATGCTAGCATCACTAGCATTAAACATTTTTGTTGCCTGATAGTATAATTTTTAATAATGATCAGGTAATTTTGATTTCAGATTGCCAATTAATGTATTTTAATCATCTGGCTCTATTTTGCAGAGTTGGTGGATAAGCATGTTGAGCCTGTATGCTAACAGTGCTAATTGCTTATAATAATTACTGGTATAATTACAGGGTGCGAAATTCAGGGTAGTCCTGCAGTTTAAAACTATTATATTTGTTCACTGATAAGTAGATGTCAACAGCAACTAGCCCAGTTGATTACTGTCAGTTCACATTTAATAAACCATATGTAGCACCAGCCTTGTGATAACTCACCACTTTTAGTAAAAACAAATTAATAGCTTCTGGAGAAACCCTTTTGAAATAAAAAACCACAGCTATTGTATGAATTCAACACTTTTGTAATAAGATCATGTCAGTACTTTTGTAATACTGCTCAACCATTTTTGTAGCAAAAACTAATTTTATTAAAAAGCTGGTGGCTTTTATTACAGAAGTGTGATCTTACAAAAGTTGTTTGTATTAAAAAGATGGTTTCTGCACCAGAACCTATCCAACTATGATTTTGGGTGTTGACCAGTTAAGCCCAACGCACACACCCGAGCAAAACACCGGAACGTGGAGCAAAACATGTTTCGCTCGATGTTCGTGGCTGTGTGCGGATTCCCGAAACAAGAAACATTGCTCAGCTGAGCGTGTTTCGCTGAACAAGCAATGTTTGATTTGCGGAGCGTGTTTCGCCTGAGCGTATGTTTTGCTCGGGTGTGTGCGTCAATTGTTCTGCTACACAGCGAAACGCCACAGAAGGTCTCCAATCAATATCCTTAAAAATATCACATGAAACACAAAATTGGATGTCCATTGGATGGCTATTTTGGATGTCATGTGACAGCGGCGCTGTGCGCAGTGTTTCTGTATGTTTTGCTCAGCTGTGTGCGCTTGCTCGCTCAGCAGAACGCGAAACGCTGGAAAACAAAATTTCGTGTTTCGCTCGGGTGTGTGCGTTGTGCTCTAGAGAGTTCTCACTTAAAATGTTAGTGTATGCCTCATAGTGTGGAGCTATCAAGGATTATGCAAATTTAACAGTATGTGCTAGCTATAAATATTTTTAATTGTAAGGTTGCTAAAGACTATACTAGGTATTTATATCTACTAGTCTGTTTGACTACCACATGATTGAGGGTTATTTCGCATCCTGTATATAGTATACCGGATATAACACATAATATATCTCACAATTCAGACAGGATCTGATTTGTATGTCACTAAGAAGTGTGCTTTGTGAATATATACGAATTCAACATGCTCTTTTTCTTCCATAATGTGATGCCTCGCGGACCTTGCAGCCAGTAGATGGGAAGGTATGGTGATGGTAGCCTTTCATCCTTCTCCTTATGATGTATCTAACCCTGTAGACTCTGTGTGATCCTTCACTCCTGTCATCATTCATCCTTGTCACACCACTTTTCAGAAGGTTCTTTACGCATTGCTGCTACTCATAATACATTTCGCCTTTCAGGGGCTTACGTGCGTGAGTTATTGTGTGTGCGTGTGTGTACTTTTGCATGATATAGCTGCTGGCATCTGGACCTGCTTTCTTCATGGCTGCTCTGTGGCCGTGCAATGTCATGTATCTGTGTATATTGTACAGCACTAGACTGGGTCCAAAACATTGTCTGCTCGCTGTAACCTATAACCAACCACTCAGTGAATATGTTAGAGAATGAAATTTTGTTTATTTCATTGTGCTGAACAATATCATGGCAATTAAAAATCAATATTTTACTTGTTTTTAAGTATGCTTCACATACTTTAAGAATGACACTTTTCTCATGTTCTTCTGTCTATTAAACAGAAATTATTCGGAAGATAACATATTACTTACCTACCAACCCTTTGAAATCTTAAAGCACTCAAATCTTACAGCAACCAGACAATTTTTTGAACCACTTATATCTCAGATCAGTCGTTGCTTTCCACATTTATAGGCAAATTTGTTCTGGAGCATTAAGGAAAGGTTGGGTGAACACTAGTATTTTTACCTTCAATATGCATTTGTGCTGGCATCATCTGTTGTCTGTTTTTACCATTGTATTGAAAAGGAATAAATCTACTCTGTTCATATTAGGGATAACACATGCTAAATTCGAACGTGGAGTATAAAATGTTTAAAATGGCAAATATTAATGGATCTAAGAATAAATTTCAGTTATTTTTCAGGACAGTGTCCAGTGGACCTATCTAGACAGTATTTCATTCAAGCTTGCAGTTATCTTTTACACTGAAATTTGATTGATTTACTCAAAACCAATGACAACTTTTATGAGATTAAACAATGCTGATACAAATAAATTGCATTGATTTTTTGCATTCATTTTAATGCATATCTGAATTTGCCTCGGTGAAAATATTATGGTTGATCTGCACTGTAGATAGATTACTGATACAGGAAACATGTCTGACAAAAATGTACAAATACTCACACTGTGAGCTTGACATGATAACTAACGGCCTAGACCTTATTGATTTTTCTCAGGTTTAATCTATAAATCTATATATTTTCACAATATGTTGTAATATGCTAATGCAGTATTATGGAAAGCACTGCCCCACTCACTGCCCCATCACTTCTTGCAGTATGCTCATATTAGTTTATGCATTTACTTGGGTTGGTTTATTATTGTCTCACTGTTTTTGTATCTCCTGTATGGGAATTATAGCTCTTATTATTTTGCAAATTGCCGAGTACCTTGTTTCAGTCACATTTTAGTGTGCTGTTGGTAGTTTGTTCGTTTCACAGCCTGTGCAGATATATTTAAAAGACAAATACTGTGTTTGCGAAGTCAGAATGCCTCAGTTACCACTATATATGCTCAGTTGCTCTAAAATTGCACCACCTGCAACAAAACGTTGAGATAAACCTGCTGTGAGCACGTTTATCTTGAAAACTAATTGCGTTGCTCTTTTCATAACAATTCCTACTTATTATCTTTTTTGCATTAACATTTTGGCGACCTTGAACATCGAGCAATCATAATTTTCTTTGACAGTGCTTTTCTCTCATAACAATTAAGATTTAATTAACAAGCTATAATTTCATTTTGAAAAATGTCAAAACATGTTACATACAGTATTCATGCCATTTGCAATAATATTGCTATGATGTTTTTGTGCTGCCACTTGCATAAACCTACTGTTATCACTTGTCCAATTATATAACTGCGATGACCAGGTTCTATAAATGTTTTATTTCATTTCTAATTTCTGGCTAATTGAGAGCGTTTTGTGTTTTAATATTGCATCAAGACTTACAAGTGGGATCTTTAAACACAGTATTTCAATTTAACCAAAGAATTTTGCTTGTGCACATTGTGCTAGCACGTGTGCTACTGGGTGACATATTGCTGTACTTTTTGTTACCTTTAATGTGACTTGGGTGGATTCGAAGCTAACCTTTTAATGAATATTCCCTTAGACACTGTTACATACTAATATGGACAAAAAAGGCACTGCTCTAACGTTTTTTCTATAGCTATTTATACAATATAATATTTTTTAGCCAAAATATTTTAGCTATCAAGCTGTTAGGGAATTATTTTCGGAAGAATTGTTACTACAGAGAAGTTGAAGACAAAATGCTTACACCAATGCTGAAAGCCATACAAAACTTGGACGATATGGATAACATTCTTGGTTCAATTGAATTTGTGATTGCTTATTAAATGAGAGTGCAGTTGTAGTCTACATTATGTAATATACGTTATTTGAAACACATTGTCATGTGTGTAAGGGATTATACTTTCTCTACTATAATATGCCTTTTTATGTCTCGTATTTAACAAAGTTGTATAACATGTTTCAATGCATAACACTGAGATTTGCTGTGTAGCTGTATAATATATGCTCTTGATAATATATTATAATATCAGGAGTGAATAAAAACAGATTCACTGCTGGTAATATGTTTCAGTGATCACACTTTACCCCAGCTTCATCGCTTCTATTTGTTTTTGTTTGTCACCCGATTGAACGCCGTTCGTTTTTGACCACGTTTGTTATCTGACAGGTGTCTCATAGGCTGGGAGTGCTGTGCATCGGTGCGCCCGCGTGTGGCATGAACCCAGCCATCCGCTCCTTTGCCAGACTGGCGATGTTTGAGGGCCACACCGTCATCGGTCTGCACGATGGAGTGGAGGGCATCGCTCAGGGAACGGTGCGTCACTGTGACACAAGGAATTAGCGGCTGACATATAAGCATGCCACATGTCTCAGATTATTTCTTAGTTTTCTGATTGTGAAAGATTTCTCTTGGAGCTTTGTGACTGAAAGATTTCTTGTGGCGCTTTATAATTCCCATGTGCTATGCATTAGATATTGCCCCATACTAGATGTGCTATATAGAATCTTAACCAATACATTCCTGACATTACAAAACAGAAGTTTAACTTTCAAGAACATGTCACTACTGTTGCTCCTAGCTTATGAGAATGGCTCAGCTGTTAATTTTTATGCAAAGGCAGACGAAGCCTTACCACCTGAGTTTTTAATCGTATATGTGAAGATTTGTTCAGATGTCAGCATATAATGATAAAATACCTATTTATCTAATATGTTGCTTTGTACAATGTTGTGTATTTCAGATTAAACCAATAACATGGGGAGAGTTGCATGGTTGGGCTGGAGCAGGTGGTACATACATAGGAACTAAGCGGTAATATACAGAAACAATATTTATTATTTGAATTTAAGATTAACAGAATTTGATTAATAGCTTCATTAGTCATAGTGGATGGTGATGCTGCACAGGTTTTTTTGGTAAAAAAATATTTGTATCAATATCCTCTTTATATAACGATTTTAATTTGGAAAACGTTTTCATATTGTTAAACACATAAATCGTTAAAATTTTCGACTTCTTTCTCCAAATCTTAAAGTCTGTCATATTAAAAATGTTATTTCGTATATCACGTAATATTCATGAAACATTTCCTGCAGGACTCTTGCCAGCAACTACATACCCCAAATTGCAAAGCGTTTCAAGGAGCAGAAGCTGGATGGCTTGCTACTTATTGGAGGATTTGAGGTAGGCCTACTAGCAAGTCACAAAAGCCATCCTGGTGGCATATTCATTATTCACACAATATTTCAGTGTGGCCATTTTTACTGGTATTAGTCATTTCAACAAGAGTTGTATAACATCAAGGGACAATCAGATTTTTGTTAGCACACGTGAACCACCCAGGTTTTGATGAGTCCTCGACAACTTGCCCCCCTAGTTATAACTGTACGGTGGTGAGCAAAACCACGATTATTTACATAAGGTTTAGGCTCACAAGAGTTGTTGGCCCGCAACAGTAGTTCCTGTCATGACCTGAAGACACTAGGATAAAATGTGGAATTAAGTACCTATAACATGGCGCGAAATTAGCACCGGCCCACCGGCATATGCCGGCAAATAATTTTTAGGGCCTGTAACATGCACTGACAAAACACCGGCCCTCCGAGCCGGTGGTTTCAGCCGTGTTAGCGAGTATCTACATTTTTAGCTCGCCTTGACATCGTCAAGATGAGCTATTGCCATGGGGTGTCGTCCGTCGTATGTCCGTCCGTGCGTTCGTCCGTCCGTCCGTCAACATTTGGCTACGGTCAATGATAACTCAAGAACCATTTGACTTACATGTTTCAAATTGCATATAGTTGTTACTCCTATGGGAGAGGTTTGAACGTCCTATTTTGGAGCACGCCAGTTGGCCTACATTCGAGCCATGTCCACTTTTTGGCAAAAATGGAAATGGCCACAAGTCAGTTCAGGTTCAATGGGTTTTGCTCATTTCTGGTATGTGAATGAATGAGGACTGGCCCCAAAACATATCATACAGGTTTTGATTTTTTTTTTAATTATGCAAAAGCCCTCCGAGCCGGTGGTTTCAGCCGTGTTAGCGAGTATCTACATTTTTAGCTCGCCTTGACATCGTCAAGATGAGCTATTGCCATGGGGTGTCAATCGTCCGTCGTATGTCCGTCCGTCCGTCCGTCCGTCAGCATTTGGCTACGGTCACTGATAACTCAAGAACCATTTGACCCACATGTTTCAAATTGCATATAGTTGTTACTCCTATGGGAGAGGTTTGAACGTTCTATTTTGGAGCACGCCAGTTGGCCTACATTCGAGCCACGTCCACTTTTTGGCAAAAATGGAAATGGCCACAAGTCAGTTCAGGTTCAATAGGTTTTGCTCATTTCTGGTATGTGAATGAATGAGGACTGGCGTCAAAACATATCATACAGGTTTTAATTATTTTTTTAATTATGCAAATTAGGTAGATTTTGGCAATTTCACTATGCATTTCAGTGTCTGCCTACAGTCAACGATAACTTAAGAACCATTTGACCCACATGTTTCAAATTGCATGCAGTTGTTACTCCTATGGGAGAGGTTTGAACGTCCTATTTTGGAGCACGCCAGTCGACCTACTTTCGAGCCACGTCCACTTTTTGGCAAAAATGGAAATGGCCATCTAAATTTATTCGATTTTGTTAAATTTTGGTATGTGAATGTGTAAGGCTAGCCCCAAAACAGTTGTTACTCCTATGGGAGAGATGACAACGTCCTATTACGTTTATTTTGTCTAACTGGTCAACAACTACAATCATACCTATATACGTGTAATATTGTGTTTTAGATTCTTTGTTACACTAATTTGACTGGAATATTTTATTGTTTTTATTTGCGCGATATTCGAAAACCAAAATGTCGATCATTTAGGCGTAGCGCCATCTCTCGTCAAGATTTCAGACTTTCAGATCTGAAACATTTATTTTCGCATCAAAACTTGTGTCATTGACCCTAACCCTAACCCTAACCCTAACCCTTTCATTATTTATAGCATTAATAAGCAAATATAGCCTACATTACTGTTTTACCTGAAGGATATCACGCTATAATTTATCAACATTTTACATATTTGAAATCAATAATGCAAGCGTGAAACATGACATTGACACAAACACTTTGGACATAATTCACGATCTGCATTATAGTCTGTTCAACAGCTACTATGCGATGCCGCACACTACAACAATTTTCTGACAACCAAGGGTCAGTGAAACAGTCTTATCTTTGTTTTTGAAATATAAAATTCTGAGGGCTGGTAAATTATGGTGAGGGCTGGTAAAAAAACACCTGTTACCAGCCCTCTGCGCGGGTGCAACAAAATCTGAATTTCATGTTCTGATCTAATATTGAGATTATGTAAGTAACTTGCTATCGTTCACAGGCCTATAGGTCGCTGCAGGAGATAGCTGATGCAAGAGACAAGTATCCGGAGTTGTGCATCCCGATGGTGATGATTCCGGCTACGATCAGCAACAATGTGCCAGGCACCGAGTTCTCTCTCGGTGCAGACACCGCTTTAAACGAGATCGCAGAGGTAAAATGATGACAGTGAAATGTCATCGCTCGCGGTGACATTAATTGTCTTTTTTATAAATAATGTGATGGTGTTATAAATAATAAATTAACTGTTGAATTAATTGACTCGACGAGTTTAGATGCTTGTGTGTAGCTGTACCTTGATTGAGACTGCATGTGGCCCTGTTTAGACTGTAAAAGAACTATAAAATAGGACAAAAAGTAAAAGTATACATTAGTAAAAAATCGTGTTTTTCTGAATGTGATTTACATATTTTTAGGACATCTCTATGCAGACTCTGGGGTTGCACAGTTGAGGTTTATGGGCTTTCGTCTGCGTACGATTTAATATACCAGAGTAATCCTATGGAAAAACGTTTTCACACTTTAAAATTATTGTTTTAGATCTGTGACAGAATAAAACAGTCTGCCATGGGAACACGCAAGAGGGTGTTTGTTATTGAGACAATGGGTGGTTACTGTGGTTACCTAGCCACCATGGCTGGTCTGGCAGGTGGTGCTGATGCTGCTTATATTTACGAGGAGAAGTTCACCATTGAAGATCTGAGGGTGTGTTCATTAAGAGAATTAATTAACAAATGTCCAGTATTACACACGTTACATATTCACAGCGGTGTTATGTTGTCAGTTTGAAAAATTTTACATGCTCGGAATAAGGAAATGTATATTAAAGGTTTTGAGCTAGGTTCACGTAACTTGATTCTTAGAGCGACATTCTAGACAGCACTATTTATATATTTCAGAATGATGTCAGACACTTAGCCCATAAGATGGATCAGGGGATACAAAGAGGACTTATTCTCAGGTGTGCTACTTTTTGTATTTGCTGATCTCAAAATCATTTTGCTTTTGGTCCTGTTGCTGCGCATTGTCAATCTTCATGATAGCTTAAGAAGTAGTTAAATAACGTGCATTGTAATAAAGGGTTGAACATGGTGGAAAATTCCATTCAGTTCAAATGAACTTATTTTGAAAATAATTTGTCAATTTAACAGTATCTGATGCACCTTCAAGAATCCCAAACTAATTAAAGTTGATAAACCTCGTAGCTAAATGCATATATATATCTACTGTGAGCTTGCATATTTTGCAAAAATTCACTACAACTCATTTGTATTGCTACTTTCATAACATTTCTTCTCAAAATCTAAACGAAATTACTTTCTCTTACGAACGTAGCACCACAGTTATGTTTACACATCCGGGACACAGTGGAGCGATCGGCTCGATTAATTAACAGTTTCTTTCTATGATAAAACAAGTTATAATTCATTATTCGATGTTTATTCAATACAAAATTGTGAAATTTGTTTAAATCATATCGTTATCTCTATTACTTAGGCCTATATATATGCAATCAGGAAACAAATATAGGCTTTTTGTTGCGAGGTTTATCCATTTTAAACCCCTAAAAATAGACAAAAACTCAAGTCTTGGTAAGTTCCTTCTATGGTAACATAATACAGATTACATTTGTAATTTTAAATGCTTTTTAAATGCTTTTTTGTGATGGCCAGTTTTAAAATAGTTTAAATACAAACTGTTTACCCACATATATTTTTTTTGAATTTCATGTGGGTGCATGTACGCTTTAGTTATTGTGAGGTGATTCCTTGTCCTATGCAATAAACGCTGACATCGTCAAGATGAGCTAATGCCACGGGGCGTCGTCCGTCCGTCCATCCGTCAACATTTGGCTACGGTCAACGATAACTTGAGAACCGTTTGACCCACATGTTTCAAATTGCATACAGTTGTTACTCCTATGGGAGAGATGTGAACGTCCTATTTTGGGGCACGCCAGTTGACCTACTTTTGAGCCACGCCCCCTTTTTGGCAAAAATGAAAATGGCCATCTAGATTCATTCGATTTTGTTACATTTTTCTACCTACCTACCTACCTATACCTACCAACCTAATCATACCTACATGTTATATTGTGTTTTAGATTCTTCGTTACAGTAATTTGACTGGAATATTTTATTGCTGTTATTTGTGCGATAATCGAAAACCAAAATGGCGATCATTTAGGCGTAGCGCCATCTCTCGTCCAGATTTCAGACTTTCTGATCTGAAACGTTTATTTTCGCATCAAAACTAATCCTGAAACAAAACAGTGAAATTTCTATTAGTATAAAACGGGGAATAAGGCCATTTGATCACATTTCGGTACGTCATAAATGAAACACTTGCCAAATTTTAAATATCATCTCCCTCTTCTATCACACCCAAGGTGAGCTATATAGTGTCATTGACACTTTCATTATGGCTTGCTGCTTGTCAGCTCTCAGACTTAGACATCAGACTAGAAAGCCTTTGTGCTCTTTTAACCGTTTAGAAGGAAAGTAAGCTTAATTTGATGTCTTAACCCTTAAATGTGACAATAAATAATTAAGCTGTACATAATAATGTAATTCAAATGGTCTTATGTAAAATTTAAAGTTAAATTGAAAGCCAGCAGTGCAGGAAATGAAAACTTATGTAATAAGGTAAACAGAAGCTTTTTTCATGGTCATATGAAATCTACTCACCCGTTGCAATCAGGCACCATTGTTTCACTGAATTTGACCATACAGACTAGCATTTTTAGATGGCATTTTCAACAGTCTGTGTAGAGTCGAAACAACAACAATATTGTTTGCGTGTACTTTAATCCAATAAAGCACGCGAGCAGTGTTTGCAATACGTAAAACGTTATCAGTTGAGACTACCGTTTTGGGATGGTCCAAGTTGTAGGTAACCCACATATATCTACAATTTGGAAGTCAAAAAACAATTATAAAAACAAATATCACAAGAAATAATTAACAATAATTCATAATTATACCGTTTTGTCTATTTCTTTATCAAAATGGTTTTATTATAAATTTTCAAGTAAACTACATACGTACATTTTTCAAATATAATTATAAAATTATATTCTATTGACCATGTTATATTTTTCCATAATATATATATGTAAATGTTCCTCTAATCAAACATTTCATGGGTCTATATATTATTGTTGCATACTGGAATCACAGACGAAAGTGTAGTCAGCCCTTTTACATTCAACACCAAAATATGCCAATAATTGTTGGAAACTTGAACAGGAATCTTACATACTAAACTTACTGCCTGCTTTCTCCAAGATTACTTTTATTGGTATTTCAAGCACTATATGTGACATGGGAGCGAAGTAAGTTAGCTTCTGTGGTGTATGACAATACCTGTAGTGCTACACTTACATGCTGAAAGCATGTGAACATGTTGTATGCAGAGGTTTTAACTCGTTGGTGACGTTAGGGCAGTATAGCATGTTGCACAGACCAGTGTGGTTAAATAGCACCGTCTACTTTTATGCTTTGTGCTGTATCTATGCTAACAACATTTTCCAGCATCACGATGGTGTGAGTTGATTTCTGGAAAACCAATCTTGTTTACGTCTTGACACGAAGCCGTTTACCATCAAATGATGAGACGCGTCAGATTTATCCAATAAAAATACGTTACTATAATTACCTACAATGGACGGTTTTCACGAATGAGATATTACACGTAACCAATCTCACGTGGACTGCCTCTTGTATAAGTTAAATTGGTGGTGAATTGTTTCTGACAACACTACGTAACAATCAACCTCTAGTTTGCCGGAGAGCAGCATAATAAAAACGATATTCCTATTTAAATTGGAATTATAAATATTCCTATTTCCTCTGGAAGCTTGCTCTCATCTCGTCAGCTCTTGCTCTCTCTCTTTCTCTCCCTCGCTCTTGCTCTCTTAGTTGCACCTGCCTGTATCTGTTAACATGTTCACTGGCTATCCTGCTTTACCTTCTATATACCTTCCTTCCTATACTATACTACTACCAACTGTCACTTCGTGACACCTCACATAATACAAGGATTTTCTCTACTAACCACCATCTCCAAATCTTTCTTACTACCTTTCTACGTTCCACTGTGCTCCCTTGTTAACGAGCCTTTTCCCCTCCCTGTGATATTATGCAAATCGCTTTCTCTGTTGTGATTAATACTGTACAGGCCTCTTTATCATCACCACATTTCCGTAATCAATGTGTTTATGACAATTTATTACTATCAAATCAATATATTACCTAAAAATAACAGCGCCTTATTTTATTGAAACTAAAGAAAACATTATTGGAATTATGTATCTCATAAGCATAGTAGAGATTGCAGAAACATGGTAATTGTGTAAGTGCAGCACTTTCTGAGCCCATGTTGTGTTTATTTTATGTTGTAAGAAGGAATATAGTTATACTATTTGCGCAAACGGCAAGCTGGGATGCACCAAGCCATTACGATCTAGTTTAACAATATACGTACATAGACAAATCTAGTTTCTCCGTGCCTTTAATTTACATTTCAGTTTTAATATTTGTTTACTATATAAGCTAGATATCATTTATGCATATTTTTTAACCTTAACCAAACAAGTAGTAAATAATACCCCAGCTCATATTCACAGTCCGATAAAACACCACACCTAAGTAGCCGCACATAGAGGCTACACTATCACATTAAAGAGAGACTATGACAGGGTCATATAAGCAGGCCATATGCGTAGCCCTACACTGTATGGTATTGGTTTCAGTTGTAGTACTAATGATATGGCTTTTGTTGAGTCAGGAATGAGAATGCCAACTCTAACTACACGACCGATTTCATCCACCGACTGTACTGTGAAGAAGGCAAGGGTATATTCACAGCAAGGATGAATATTTTAGGCCACATGCAGCAAGTATGTTGGTTAATTCATCTTACATTATATATATATATACAGCCACATGCACATGCATGCGTGCACTCACATATTTTTAGCTCACCTTGACATCGTCAAGCTGAGCTATTGCCATGGGTCGTCAGCTGTCGTACGTCCGTCCGTCCGTCCGTCCGTCCGTCAACATTTGGTTTCGGTCAACGATAACTCAGGAACCGTTTGACCCACATGTTTGAAATTGGGTATAGTTGTTACTGCTATGCTCCCATATGGAACGTCCTATTTTGGAGCCAGTCAGTCGTCGTACTGTCGAGCCACGGCGATTTTTTGGAAAAAATGGAAATTGCCATTAGTCAGTTCAGGTTCAGCGGATTTTGCTCATTTTTGGTAGGTGAATGAATAAAGGCTAGGGGTTTTGATATTTAAAAAAAAAATATGCAAATTAGGTAGGGTTTGGCAATTATTTAGCATATTATATAAACACAAACCGTCTGTGGTTTCACACTCGTCTGGTTCGTTTTACAAGATTTCATTGACAATATCTTTAATGCAAAATTGGTATTTCCTCTCCACCCTGCCGATAAAACGTCTATATTAGAGTAAAGATTTACAAAACATGTCGGAACGCAGCATAGCCTATTTATTTCGAACGCCATCGCTACAAAGCAGGTGTAGCGCCATCAATGGTCACAAATTGTGATTCATTTTGGTTTATAAATTATTATTGCGATAAACAGATGGCAATCGGTTCTATAATGTACGTCGATGGTTGCTCAATTAAAACTGACTTCTTCTTACTCACTCATTTGTGTCCTTTTTGTGGTGAGCTACAGTGTCATTGACACTTTCATTAAAATTGTACGTGTGGGTGTGTGCACATGTGATCACGTACGTGGTTATGTGTGGGTCTATGTGTGCATGTGTATAGAATTTCTGTCAAGTAATGGGGCACTGACTTTGAAGTTACCCGCAGCAATAATATATTGGTCAGTTTCACCAAGCCTTCATATTTTATTTCCATTTGCACACAGTTGGCAGTGTAGTGGACGTTTTCTCAGATATACATTGCACACTGTGTTAACAGTATGATCTCGTTTTAATCCATCTGTAGATGCAATGTCTAACACAACACTGACAGTATATATGATTTTGTGCATGATGACAAGTGCATGACATAGTGAAGTTACTGCTATAGTGTCTGCCTCATTGCAGGGAGGATCCCCTAGTCCCTTTGACCGCAACATGGGTACAAAACTGGCTAGCCGTGCTCTTGACTGGATGAATGCAAAGGTCAAGGCAAACACTACGGCCGACGGTGAGAATTACCCTGTATTTCTTTTGATCTGAATCACGAACCTTTCTGCACTTGTTATCTCCTATCATCCGAATTAAAAATGGCATCATATAGTTACTGTGTAATTCGTCATGTGCCTAGTGCTAGTATAAGCCATATCGGAACGTCCCCGCCGCCATATTGAGATCAGATAAGAGGGGGTATAAGTTGCCTATATATAACATGGTTACGATAGTACTATAGTCTAGCTTTTGATCTATAATTCTCTTCACTAACATATCGTACTTCAATTCACAGGTGCGTTTCTATTTACAGAAACATTTACGAATATGATTGTGGTCATTTGGGATATTTTGCAATGTTTGTGTTAATGCAAAAACTAGAAACGCACGAGTGTTTACATTAATCATGTACTTTTCTAAGCGTGCCTCGGCCATTTAATACACTATTTTCTATGACCTAAATAACACAGCTGGACTTTCCGATATCACTTATTGTTATAAACCCATGTAGACCATTTTGTAAAATGTAAATTCACAAGCAGTTACTACATAAGAAATACAGAGGAGTGATTAATTGACCATTACTTCCATGTGTGTTCAGTGTTGATTGAGAGACAAGTTGTCTTGCAGGCATTGTGTACACGAACCAGAGAGATAGTGCAGTCCTGCTTGGCATGCGAAAACGGCACATCAACTTCACTCCCATACAAGATCTTGCTGAGGAGACAGACTACGAGTAAGTTAGAAGAGCTGGTTAGATTTAATAAAGGGAAAAATTGTCGAGCACTGTTTGATCACAACGGAATAGTGTGTGTGTGTGTGGGGGGGGGGGTCATAATGGGGTACCACAGTTCACATTTCACAGTAAATATTTGACTTTTTGTCAGTTCTTGGTGAATATTCCCATTTTTTACACAAATTTGTTGATTAAATTATGAAATTGAGCCAGAAACCAACAGGCTTGACAATGTGTATAGCAGTCGAAGATAAACTAAAAATTCCGAGTAAAGAATTATGCAATTTCACGCAAACGCCAAGTTCTTTATGGAAATCGTGCATCTCGCCGGCTCAAGAATCGCGACAGACAGTTAAAAACTCATTTTTCATGCTAACGTTATGAAATATGCAACCATATGTCACGCCTCGCACTGTACCCCATCAGCACCATCTATTTGTTTGCTTGACGTCTTCTGCAGGCATCGTATCCCGAAGGAGGAGTGGTGGATGAAGCTGAGAGCTCTGATGAGAATCATGGCCAAACACACGGCTGTCTACGAGAAGTCTGCCGCTAGTCTCGCCCACATCGCCGAAGAGAGCGACTACGCCGAAGAAGAATCTGAAACCGAAACGAAGTGAACTTCTCTCTAGAGAACTACCACCGACATGGGAAACTGGGTTTATCTATGCTGAGCACGAGTCCTAGGGTTATCTGGTGGTAGTGCCATCCACTTCATGTCACCTTCAAACCAGGAGTGTACCTCAGTGTGGCTTCGGTGCGTTTTTCACAGGTATACAGAGTTGTATATGAAGCTGAGGGAAGTCTATTCAGGTCTATGTGTAAACTTGATCTCAATGAAGTCTGTAAATCTTAAAACGGGTTGGTATTCATAGCCTTTTTTGAACATATAGACCAACAGTATTATTTTATTCCATATCATATTTGAGCATACCTCCAAGTAAAATGCAGAGATGTGGCGTTCTACCTGCCGTTAAGACAGACTAGTGCTGAGCGTAGATGACTCATGTTTCCTTTTACCCCCCCCCCCCGGACGTAGGAAGAGAATAGAAGGATGTTTCAGTAAATTACATCCTTATACATGTACCTTAATTTTAACTGCAGCAAAACAATGGGAGAGCGTTCTATACCTTGACAAAATTTCACAAAAATTGCCTGTTTGTTTATCTGGCATATTTAAGTAGAAGAAGTAGAAGAAGAAAGAAATAGTGCAAACACATGCAAGCAAACTGTTGTTATTGTTGTTGGTTGGTTGTGTTTGCGTAAAGTGACGGGTACGTGTATACGCCACACAAAAGAGCAGCTATTATAGTTTTTCTAGTATCTCGCTACATTTTACTTGTTTTGCCAAGTCTTTTCTATTTCCCCCCCCCCAATTTTTTCTTTAAAAATGTTAGTCTTTCTTAAATTTTCCCAAGGCTGGCAATAAAATTATCTCAGTTTGGTATTAATTTTAGCTTTAAAAAATACTAGTCGTTTTTACCCATTCAACATTGTAGCCAGTGAGGAAAGTCCTTCATTAGTCTGGTCTTTATTTGATTTCCTAATTTCAACATATAAGTATGGACTTGCACTCCTTCACTCCTTTGTTCTTGCTGGGAAACTTTCTATTTAATGTGTGCTTTTATTCGTATCAATCTTTCTCCAGTTACATGTAAGTAATTACATACTCTGTATATACTGTGCCACAGCATATTGGGTGATATTGCATATCAACTGCACTGCAAATACACCATCTGATGACTGGAGACAGGCGTTGTTATAGAGAAGCTGCATACTAAATTTGCATCACCTTTAATGTGTTCACCGCAGTGTTTCAACTTGCCCGCTTAGCCGAAAAACACCGTGTTTCTGGATGACGTGTGTCTGTTGACATGATAAACTGTAACGGGTTTTGTTACGATTCAGACGTTTATCTTGTGAGTGTTTGTTGTGGGAGGAAACGTATAGTGGTACACGTTATTATACATGAGGTGTAACATGTTCGTGTGCTGGCTGTCACTACCTGTAGGTATAACTTCCAGCTAGTGTGATATCCTAGTCGAATACCCCGACGTTATTTATGAGCATTATACCCTCAGCACCAGATAGCTATTTATATTACAGTAATTGTTCCAATCAGCCAACTACCTTGAAATGTTTTCTTTTATTATTGCATTTTTTTACTGTAGCCTCTTCATTTATTATTGAGTTTCATATTTTGCATTTTGTTGGCCTTTAATTTTCAGCATTTTCAAGCTCCGTAGATTTTCATAGGCCCTCGTCAGCTTGGATTGTTTTCATACAGACTGTTTATATCACATTTTCTGTTGTCAATGGTAAACCATTTATCAAGCATATTATGAGCATATTTTACAAGTTTAGCCTTTTAAATTTATTATATACTCTCGAGTTGAGAGCAATGCCAATTTCAGTTGTTTTCGTTTTCCGTTAAAAAAATTACTTTAGATGAAAGTATGTTAGCAATTTATTTTCCCCTTTCAAAAAAGTGGCATTGCATTAATAATTTTAAAACGGTCCATTTTAATCATTATTTTACTATCGGCTACATAATATATATTCATAATATAGTTCATTTTCTTCTCTTTTCAGCATAAAAACTGATGATTCCAGTTGTTGTTTAGTAAAATGGCCAGTTCTAATAGTTGTTTTATTATCGGCTGGCTACATATATTCCTATGTTAGAAATTTCAATGTCTTTGCAGATGTGCATATGTGGCTTTTCATGTAGTAAATATGATAACATTGCTGCTTTGCATGTTACGTGTTGCTGCACACCATGATGCCATAATGAGACATTTGAATATATGTTGAATACACATATGTACAATGACAAGGTTTTCCTAGTTTTGTTGTTTGATGTCCGTGATACATAATATATTAGGAACGAAAGTGAAGTAATGGAATGCCCGACTAGCATCGGTTGTGAGACATTGTTGCTATAAATATAAAAGTAGTTGTATGTGGAAGCTTGCCTGTTCCTATCCCAATCTACTGCAACTAATCGAGCATGTAGGCAGGCACACTCAAGCAGAAAGCAGTGCTATATACGTTAACAATATGTAATGGTTACAATATGAACTAACTTGAAATTAGGTTAAATTAAATATTAAAATTAGTGTGATTAAGTAGACAGAGCAGAAAACTGTATGTGCACACCAATTCATACAAAATCTACTGTTGCTTTTGTGAAAAAAACCATGCTGGACTCTGTTTATTAAAAGACATACAATGCGGGATAATCATGAGAATATATATATACAAGATGTGTTCTGAATGTAGTCCATCATAATTCTTTGCTACCCTGAAGGTCTACGTTACTTAGGCTCTTTCTTATACTTGTAATTAAACTCTGCTGTAATACAGGGTAGATCAAGTTGCAGCCTTCCAAACATGATTTCATTATCTGCAAAATAATCAACATCAATTGTCATTGTTATGTAAAACTTACTACTCTTGACCATAGCATCTGGTATGTTAGATGTATGTGTTCCTAAAGTAAATGGTTGAATAGAATTTTAGCCAAAATAATAACATGTCAATTTAGAATGTAATTTTTAAGAGGTGTAAAAGTGCATGTAAGTTCACCTGAGCACAGACTTGAGTGTGCATCTCCCCTTTCAGAATCAAACCTGACACCTGGTTAAGAGATGGCATGTATGCAACTGTCATTTCCCCTTCATCGACAGATTCCTGGCAATAGAGTACATAAAAGTAATGTAGATAGTGTATCCCAAAAGCAGTAACTTTTATGCAGGAATTATATACTTATAAATATCTATAATATCACACAATAAGTTTTTTTTTTAAATGCTTCATCATAATCTAGACGCATGTGCACGTGTACGCACGCACTTTGTAGTTGCCACACAAATAGCTTACATTTGTCTTCATCGGCACAATCTCTTCTGCAGCTGTTGGGTCCAAAAGTATACTGTTGAAATATTTCCTCTGTAAAAGATATTAATGTAGTTTCAAGGATGCATTTATGTAGGTGTGAAAAATACTAAGCATCATAAGCAGATTTATTTCTATACTCAAGTAAGCTATTAGATGTATAGCATTTTGAAGTGTAGGTGTATTTGATGTCTAATCATAAACTACTACTAAAACTAGAAAGGGCAGTTGTTGCCAACTACATGTATCCCCCGTGTTCTCCCCAAGATGTGTAAGTATACGAAGTTTGGTCGCGCTAGGTAAATTAGGGGCCGAGTTAGAGAGCGAAAGGGAAATATGATCAAGGTCAAGGTAAAGGTCAAATAAAGGTCGCGGTGACCTGGTTTTGGTACTCTGCACACCTTCTCCACAAGATGTGAAAGTATACCAAGTTTGGTCACGCTAGGTCAATTAGGGGTCGAGTTATAGAGCGGAAGGGAAATTCTCTGCGGCGGACCGAGCGGTGGCGGCGGCTGGAGAGACATGAAACCATAGTATCCCCGCCGACTTCGTCGAGTTACATTTTCCTCTGTACAACTTTATTTCAAATGTCTTTAGTGCCAATGTTAAACACCAAATTAAATATATAACTGTTAGATATATTTTATATTTTATATTTATAGGTGTTAAGCACTAACCACATAAACACAAGGTTGTGCAGACAGTACATAGTTCCAGTCAGAGTAAAAATGCTTAAAACATGTTGTAACTACAGCTTCCCCACAACTAATGTAACAAATTGATGACTTTATGACTTTATGATAACAAATTATCATGCCCCAGAAACATGTCTAGCTTTGATTTGATAACTGAAACACTTTCCCAATGCTATGGGATTAGAAACAATAGTTTCATTATTATTGCAACGTTACATGTTGATTACTACGTCACTTACAGCAGAGCAGGCTACCACCATGTCATACATCTCAATCCCAGCATCAGCTAATGCGAGAGAGCCACAGGTCACAGCCGCTGAAAGTGCTACCAAATGTAAACAGGTGAATGGTAAATTTTAGCAGCCTCATTAAAATTTAATCTATAAGAAGTGACACAACAAACTCCACGACAGATGGCGCTCTCGCTCTGGCTCAATTCACCACTGGCACAAGTAGATTTCTGTGAGAATTTCTAATGCTTTACCACAAGTTTTACAGCGGCCAGGTTACTCGTATCTTATGTAATAAGATTTGTACTAAAAAAAGTTGCAAAGATATTATAAATTTGACCATTATTTCATGAGAAATTTTATAAAATAATGATACGAAATAGTGCATGTATTGTGCGCCCATTTACTACTTTCAAATCATTACGCTGTTTACTAAACTAAGTTCACGTGTTTATTTAATATTTATCATGAATTTTTCGGATGCTTGCCAATATAACTAGTTCTCGAATATTGTCTTTGATAAATGTTTGCATATATTCAGTTTAAAACATCTAAATTTGTCTACCAACAAACATGCAAAACATAGAAATTACTAATGTTTTGTTCGGCGGCGACTTCGCGGCCGTTGGATTGCCATTCGCTGGATTTCCCCGGTGCTCCGCCCACTTGAAAAATAGTACCAGCCTTGTGGCAGTGGTATCCTAAGTTGTACGAAGGGGGCGCTGCATGCAGTTTGGTGACACACCTCAAACATTTAGTAATATTGTCAATCGGCGAGGAATAAGCACTACATGATAGTCACGCAAAAAAATGTGACACTATAAAATAACTGCAATATCATATCAGTAATTCAACTGTCATATATGTGAGCACAATTATATTGAGTAGATAATCTGTGCAAATCACTGAATCAGAAACTTGACTATACAGCAGTGATGAGGATCATTCGTGAATGCTTCGCTGTTAGGAAAAGTGTTATCTCGTTTGACATTAGCTTTATGACTGATACCTACCGCTGCCATCATTTTCAAGAATGATCACGTAGATATCAACCTGAGCCTTTGGAAACTTGTGCTGAAATCAATTCAAAATAAAGATGTGAGCAGGGGGTAAACTTCCACATTTTTACCTTTCATGTTGTGTTTGTTACTACATACAGATGCACGTCAGGAAATAATCAGAAGGGTGACACAATGGGTGAATACCATGTGTGAGAATAGCTGATTCCCTCGGAAACTATATTACAGGTGCAGTTTAACATAAGGTCTCTGTGAACACTGAGTCAGGAGTCTGCAATGTCATACAGTGATTAGCTACTGAAAGATTAGGTTGGCTTTCTGACCGAAGGCAGTTAAGTTTGTAAACATAAACTGACATATTTAGCAGCATTTGTGAAAACTCTGCGGTCAGATTAGCCATTGATGTTGTGCACATATAATGTGATTTATATGACTCTAAGTCTATCATCATCATCCAGAACATATCATTCATCTAGAACATGTGACATGCAAGAAAAATCTTATTCTCATCAACAAACTTCCATATTTTATTAATAGTTCCACTACATTGCTCTGACCATACAACTCAACCTTACATGATGACATTCTACCATACACAAAATTAACAGACCACTTACTAGACACACAGCTGGAGAGAGGCTCTGGAGCAACAGTTGTGACAATTCTTTTTCTTCTGCATCCTGTTGGTGTTGCCTGCGCTGCTTGCAAGAGAATGTAGCAAACTTGAAGTCACATGTTAGACGACCATTCATGCTAAAGTCCTCTCTTTTGCCAAACTCTCGTGGACCATACCTGCAAGAATGTAAATTAATGAGTAGTTACTTTATGTATGAAGATGTCACGGGGGAATAAAAAACAGCGTGCGGTCAATAATATGCCGTGTATGAAATTCAATGCAGTCTATGAGTAAATAACAACAATCACAATATTGATTTATGGTCATATTATAAACACATCTATGCAATCATTGTATCAATATTCAATCTAGTTAAATTAGTTGTATCAACATTTTATTGATATGTTATTGGTAATATGCACTTATGAGTTCAAGATATGATTAATGCATACTTACACTCCACATATAACCTTGGTGTTGTTAAATTCTATGTAGACAGACCCTTGTGCCTGACTTATTATACCACACTTGATAACTGCAATTTAAACAGAATCGTAATGAAAAATCTACAGGCAATATTTCTGGGTGACTGAGAGAACATGTGAACTACACAAGGAACCTGTTGCAGAGTGCATGGTGACATAGGTAGACTCTCTAGTTAACTAAAGCAACACTACTAAGTACTTCAGAATGTGAATCTTAACGTTCGAAATTAAGGGCAGGAGTTTTGCTGCCTATAAGGGTCAGTTTGCTGCCTGCTCTCAATGTCAGCAGCAAATACTCGTTGCCGAAAAGTTCGAATAAACCAGTAATAAGTACCTAAGTAGCTTATATAAGTAAAAGCACAAAATTACTAGTAATTTCTGTTGAAAACGATGGTCAGTTGTTCAAGTGTTTTTTCATATAGCGTTGACTATACATTACCACCCATACTTTGTTAGATGTGCAGATTGTGTAAAAGCATAAGCGACAAAATTTAAAATGAACGAACCAGAGAACCTAGGGATAGGAGGCCCAAGCTGCTTCCTCATGGAGAGAGGCAATAGAGCAATACTGTTGCAGGGCTGGCAACATTGAGTTAGAGTTGAGAGTGAGATTGTGTGAAGGAGCGGAGCGACCGAGTGGGGGAGCCTACCACACCAGGGAGCTTTTGCATTTTCAGCTTGAAATCGTGCATTCTGGTGCATACTTTTAAAAAGTGAGTTTTTAAACATTCACATGTATGTAATGGAATACATTGTAGTTCTGCCTTTAGATGGATTAGGTACATGCATATACTAGATCCTGCTTGGAATTGTATTTATATGATCTATACTGTTTGGTCCTTTATTCTGCTTATAAGGTGACAGTCAAATTCAATATGTATAAAAATGACTTATGTTATGATTCTTGCATGGCATAGGACATCCTGAAGTAGCTATCTACATCCGTAATTGCCAAAGCCAATCAGGTTATACGTTAGTTGCATGCTCCTTCAGCTTCTTAGGCGAAACTCATTTACATAAAACTGTTCTCATTGGCAAGTAAGGACGAGATCTAGAACCGTTCAGTGAATTGAAATGCTCTAGAGTATACTTCATTTTTTTTATCCGTTTGTTTCTGTATGCGTGAGAATTAGCAGACCCGGAGTGAGAGCGTGAGATTAGCCTCATGCGTGAGTCTCATGTACGCCAAATGCGTGAGTTGGCAGCCCTGGTATTGGGTGGGAGGGAGTGGAACTGATATGGTTTTCAGCTTGGGCTACTGCTTGGGTAAGAAAGTTTGTTGCCTGATTTTTTTACTTAACTGCTGCCTGGCTAAAAAAAAATCATATCTAACCCTGCTACATACACATTGGTCTTATGTGGTCGGCCTTTCTTCCATCTTTCCTGCACCCATTTGTTTTGACCTGCGAAACAATACCACAAATAGTACATCATCACCTGAGCGATGTAATTTAACTGAAAATTATGTTGGTTGGAGAAATAGCAATCAGTATGTAGCATGTACAGCGAGTAATTCCTATTGAACAGAGTTAGTGTTACACCAACTCAGGTTACGTTAACTCGACCATATGATATGTAATTTGTAAATTATGACAACTTGGGATTCGGAAACTCTTCCATGAACATTTTTTAATAATCAGTGAATCACTAAAATTGCAAACAGTAAACTCGCGGAAAGAAGAATCGTAAATTCGCCTTGTAAAAATTTGTGAAAGATCAAGGCTATTTTTCGCAAAAAGTGTAGTGGTACCACTACCTTACTCGTTAGACGTTAATCGGCTACTGACTCTGTTACTGACACTCGCAATGCCAATGTGACAGCTACTACTGTATGTATGTATGTATATGTAGCTCTAGCACTATAGCACTCCGCTCCGCCGCAGGGCTATAGAACATACTATGGCAATTTCCAGGGAGTAAGCAAAGACAACTTTTTTTGCGGTTAATAACTTCTTTGGTATGCCAAATAAAGCACATTCTCTGCCGCACAAATGTCTTAAGTTACTACCAACACTAAAATTAAACCGCAATGTATTTCCAAGTGGAGGGGTGGGCAGGTTGCACGCGGTTGCAAACCACCATTTTTCGTTGCGCAGCGCTAGCGCGGTTTGCAACCGCGTGCAACCTGCTCACCCCTCCACTTGGAAATACATTGTGCCCGCTCACTAGCGAAAAACGGCGGTTACAAGTTGGTAAACAATCTTCGTCGACGAGTAATATAGCAAGTACAACATTTAAGCGTTAGTTTGCGGTTTAATTTTAGTGTTTGTAGTAACGTAACTCTTAAGACATGTGTGCGGCAGAGAATGTGCTTTATTTGGCATACCAAAGAAGTTATTAACCGCAAAAAGTTGTCTTTGCTTAATACTCCCTGGAAATTGCCATAGTAGGTATGTTCTATAGCCCTGCGGCGGAGCAGAGGGATATAGTTCTAGAGCTAGTATGTATGTATCATATGAATGTACAGTATGTATGTACGTATGTATGAACGGGAACCTTTACTCTTTGACTTTAGACTTTAGATCCGTGTTTCCCTTTTTATTGATAATGATAGTTTCCCACCAGTAATTTCACTTTACCGGGATATTTTGTTCCGGGGCTTCCAGGCTGATTCTACGTAATGTTTAACCTGCTCTAGGGCCTACCCAATCCCCATAACATCTAATGATCTATGTTCATAGTTTACTGACACGGTCACGGTACGGACAGATCTGTGGCTGTGCGCACTGCGCCAACTCACCAAGTTAGAAACGTCCACACCTGAAGGAGTTTCGTATACAAACGGGGGCTTTGAGTCTTCTGGACCCGGTATTCTCATTCGATCAAGAGGCATAGCGTTTAGATAAATTGTGATCGATGTTAGCATAGATGTTAGCATAGATATAGAAGAAGATTCTTCTATATCTATGATGATGTTAGACACAAAATATCATTTGCCTTGACAAGTGAACAGCTGGGGTTCTAGGCGCACTTGTTTGGATTTGGGATGCACTTGTGTTGTGATGAACGAACCTAATCCTTGTTGTTATTTATTGAGTGTCCCTCATTTCTTTCTAAATACCATATTGTCTGACTAAAATGCCATACGCTAACCAGCCGACAATACATGTTAGCGAATTGACTGAAGAGAGTGTAAAGTTTTACATTGAAGATACAGATCTCAGGTAGGCATGCTTTCCAAAATACACTGACACACTCAGTGAAACTGACACTGACTGTGTCACACAGACACACCGACTTACACAATACCACTTGCTGTGATCAATTCAATTCATACTAATTCCCTTGGTTTCAATCGGTTGTGATTTTTCAAAATATTTTGAATGCTGGTAGTGCTAGTGGTAGGCTAGACCGAATAATTCTGTCCCATATAACCTTTTTTATATTTTGGTGAGGGTTATATTGGCATTTATTATTGCCCCTAGGGATAGTATATTGCCTAAAGTATATGGCCTAAAGTATATTGCCTAAAGTATATAGGTAATATTGGGACAGAACGGGGTTCATTGAAATTTCGTGAGATCGCATGCAAAATGCATGCGCTGCTAATGCGGCCCGTACGCCGCTATTGTCGCAAAAAAAAACCTACCGTTCCCTTGTACATGGCTTTACCTTGCTACTGATATGCGCATACATTCACTTTAATCGTTATTTACTTCTTAAAAGATTGTTTTTCAGAAACCCCGCTTCATTAACTTTAGTAAATTACGTTGGCCATTTACAAACAATCAGACCAATCAGAGCGAGTCTTACAATAGCCCCTGGTTCTCGCTTGTATCTGTGTTGCGCTGCAGGAGGCCTGATAGACTCGCTGTGATTGGTCTGATTGTTTGTAAATGGCCAACGTAATTTACTAACGTTAATGAAGCGGGGTTTCTGAAAAACAATATTTTAAGAAGTAAATAACGATTGAAGTGAATGTATACACATATCAGTAGCAAGGTAAAGCCATGTAGAAGGGAACGTGCCAATAGCGGCGTACGGGCTGCATTCGCAGCGCATGCATTTTGCATGCGATCTCACGAAATTTCAATGAACCCGTTCTGTTCCAATATATAACCCTCACCAAAATATAAAAAAGGTTATATGGGACAGAATTATTCGGTCTAGTGGTAGGCATGACATAGCCATAGGTTTGAAATAACATGCCTACCAGCATCCACAATAATATTTATTGTAACACTAACATGTTTCTGGCTTTGGCAATGAAAAATGGCAAGTTTGGTTATGATCTTCTGTTATTTACAGTGTTGCAAATGCTATCCGGAGAGTTTTAATCGCAGAGGTGCCTACTCTGGGTATGTATTTCTGAAGTATGATTACTCTCAACAAACACATCTTGTTCTTCATGTTGATTGTTGTATATGTTTTCTTACTATGTTTTATATGTTTTATATGTTTTATATGTTTTTTACTTTCTTGATATGTTTTCTTACTATGTTTTCTTACTTCTATTACCTTGCCTAAGTTTATAGTATAAAATGTCTGATTATGTTTTGTGTATCTAACCTTAGCCATAGATTGGATCCAGTTGGAAGCGAACAGCACAGTCTTGCATGATGAATTCATCGCACATAGAGTTGGCTTGATACCCCTAACCTGTGATGATGCCATTGACAAGATGCAATACTCTAGGGTAAAGCTCATATACATTGTGTAGCTCTAGAACTATAGCCCTGTGGCAGAGCGGACGGCTATAGTTCTAGAGCTAATACAATGTGATGCCTCCATTTTACACAATTTAAATAGTACCTAGATATAGCATCGAACATATATATATAATTGACCTAGCGCTACCAAACTTGGTATACTTACACATCTTGGGGAAAATGTGTGTCGCGTACCAAAACCAGGTCACTGCGGCTTTTATTTGACCTTAATAATATTTCCCTTCCGCTCTATAACTCAGCCCCTAATTGACCTAGCGCGACCAAACTTGGTATACTTACACATCTTGGGGAGAAGGTGTGTCGCGTACCGAAACCAGGTCACTGCAACCTTTATTTGACATTAACCTTGACCTTCATCATATTTTCCTTCCGCTCTATAACTCGGCCCCTAATTGACCTAGCACGACCAAACTTCGTATACTTACACATCTTGGGGAGAACACGGGGGATACATGTAGTTGGCGACAACTGCCCTTTCTAGTTTGAATATTCATACATATATATATACATTACTCGAGGAGTAAATAATTGGGTTAGTCTAATAGGGTCTCTAGCCTTAAGCCGGGTTTACACTACCAACTTTGTGTTGGCGAATTGGACCAACTTCCCAACTATACAACCGACAATTGGCAGTGTAAACGCAAAAGCTGCGCGACCAACCGATCGATAGGATCTAGTTGGGCGATTTGTTCTATTTTCGCCAACTCGGAGTTGCCGAATTGCAAAATTGGTCCAACTCGCCAACATAAAGTCGGTAGGGTAAACCCAGCTTTACTGACACGCGCCGGGCGGAGCCTCGTATGTCCGTGTAATGTGGCGCCACCTGTGTCGCGTAGGACTGCACGTGCGACGAGTTCTGCCCCGAGTGCTCCGTGGAGTTCCATCTCGACGTGAAGTGCAGCGACGAGCAGACGCGGCACGTCACAACGGCCGACCTCCGATCGAGCGACCCCAGGGTCGTGCCTGTGAGTAATGCACCGGCGATGCGCGCCCGCACTGTCAGCTTTCTTGATGCAACACTGCCGCCTGACGTTGTGTACTCCGCAGTCGAGTACTTACACTGCTCTATAATCTATTATCGTCCGTATGAAAGTAGAACAATTCTGTATGGACGATTCAGTGGTATCGTGAAGGTGAAGTGGTATATGTAGTCCTGGCACTACTTCCAGGAGAAGACTATATGATGTCTTGACATTACACCAAGGTCTAGCAACATCCAGCGTAAAGTTGACAGACACATAATCTTCCCCACCAATGTCCTGCAATAGTTATTGTGGAGAGAGTGTTGCTATCATCTTTTCCATTTAGTCAGCCATTACTTTGACCATCTTGAAAATGTTTCAGGTGACATCGAGACATAGAGGTGATGATGATCCCAACGATTATGGAGAAGTGGACGGTGAGACATCCTAAACTATGTTTTGATATGAGTAACTTAGGCTAAACTCCTTTTTTATGGTGTTCATATTCCTGTAGTTCTCGATTACACATTAATCCTGCTGCAAAGAGCTTATTTAATATATAGATGAGTGCCGTTAAGAACAGGTAGATGCATGGTAACAGAGTTAGACACTTGCTGGTCTGTGTTAGGTTTAGGCTACCGGGATGAATGAAGTGATCACAGGGAAAATAGCCACTAGACCCTCTAAAGTGCCTTAGGGGAAATGATTCAGCATAACTGCAGTCTTTACCAGCATGTAGACATACTGCACAGTGAAGTTAGACAAACACTTTGCGCCTTCCGTGTTTGCACGGCAGCGTTGTCCCGTGTACGTGAGACGTCTGCGCGCCTATAATAATTGCTGAAATCCTTCGATCGCTTCCGTCCGCAGATATTCTGATCGTGAAGCTGCGCAAGGGGCAGGAGCTGAAGTTCCAGGCCTACGCGAAGAAGGGCTTCGGCAAGGAGCACGCCAAGTGGAGCCCGACGACGGGAGTCTGCTTCGAGTACGACCCCGACAACATCCTGCGGCACACGACGTACCCGAAGCCAGAGGAGTGGCCGAAGAGCGAGCATTCCGAAATCGACGAGGAGACAGGTAGCGCGACTTTTATCGCAACGCCGACGGCAGGTGCCGCGGTTTTCCTCGTTATTGGCCGTGGGTGGTGCCTTAAAGATTTGATGCTACCATTGCAATAACCCCCAACAAAAAAAAATTAACATTATCTACGGTGATAAACCATGATTGCTGCGCTGCCTGGTATGCCTCTGTGAGCTTCCCATAAATTTCATGTGTATCTGCCCTTCCTGTTTTATGCAGAATGTGTTGATAAAAGTAAAGTTGCTCTCGTTAAAGTAAGTGTTTTCCTTGGTGCCCCTGCACCTTTTCGTGTTTTCCGAAAATTTTCGGTATTACCCAATGCAGCAGTTGCCTTACCCTATCGACCTAGTTGGACCCATGGCACACTTTCCTTGGCCAGTGTAGCAGCAGCATCACGTTCATTACGTTGAACAGTGTCCAGTCTGGATGATGATATATTAATATATTTTAAAGGAAGCCTGTCCTGATTTGTACCACACTGAAAACTGCTAATAGCAGTGACTTTTGATTTAATTTAATCAAATTTCCTCCAACCGGAGCATGCCCTCATACAGCTGGCAGTGCTTTTAAAGTTTCCTTGTCTTTTCTGGTGTAAACATGAGTAGGAACTCGCCCGACCAGTAGGTTGCCCAATATGCCAGGCTGTATGTGCTTACAGGGACACCCTACCTCTAACATGCATGGACACAACATACCAAGAGTGCATAATAGAGAAGAGTATGACACGGTTTTAACAGCGTTTTGCATAGTTTTCAACTGGTAAATAATCTATCAATATGTGAATAAATATATTCAAACTTTACCTTGTTTTCGTCTATGATTCTCCCTTAATCATATGACACCACCAATTTACCTGAAAATCGTATGTGTTCTTCAAAAAAGTTATTTGAATACGACACGGTTTCGTACAGTTTTCACGCATGAATGCATCTCTCCGACCGAACTTTCTTATGGGATTAGTGTTCTATTGTCTATGACGGAACTTTGGGGGTCGTATGGGATATTAGGCATCGAATTGTATTCAGCGTGCAGCGTTTCCAGCGTGCTAAAAATAAATGCGCCTCACAGCCAGCTAGCTAGCAGCTGATTCCCTTACGGCCCCCAGCGTACCGTCATAGACAACAGAACACTAGTCCCATAAGAAAGTTCGGTCGGAGAGATGCATTCATGCGTGAAAACTGTACGAAACCGTGTCGTATTCAAATAACTTTTTTGAAGAACACATACGATTTTCAGGTAAATTGGTGGTGTCATATGATTAAGGGAGAATCATAGACGAAAACAAGGTAAAGTTTGAATATATTTATTCACATATTGATAGATTATTTACCAGTTGAAAACTATGCAAAACGCTGTTAAAACCGTGTCATACTCTTCTCTATTATGCACTCTTGAACATACTAAACCAATGCTCGCTTCTTTCATTTGAGTTTCTTGTGATAACTCATGTCTGGCACTTTGTTGTTTTGTTAAAAAGTAGTTGTGTTTGTGAGTCTCGAGGACTCTTATTTGTATATGAAAATACATGTCTGTATCTCATGTTCGGAATTGCACTGTACCAAAATCAGATGTAAGGAAGAATAAAATAGCTATGGTCTATTTGCTCCAACTAGACTGAAATCAATGGACCAGTGAGATTTGGGACCAAAGAATGTATGTAGAAATTGCATTTAGCTCATACTCTTCTTAGCCCTGCAATCTTCACTTTCATATTTCAGCACAAGGGGAGTTCGACTTCCAGGCAAAGGCCAACAAGTTCTTCTTTAACTGTGAGACGTCGGGCGCTCTACAGCCAGAAAACATCATGCTGTCAGGATTGGCGATACTCAAACGCAAGCTTGGAGACTTGCAGACGCAACTCGGCCATGAGATTCAAGCTGACGTGTTGGCAATCACGTAGGATACGATGCAGGCACGATGCACTGGAAGTCAATTCACATAGAGTAGATATGCTCGATTTTTGTCAACTATTTCGCTCTCTGTTTGCCTTCCACACTATCATATTATCATTCAACTTGGATTGTGCGCATTTGATAAATGAGCAGTTTCGATTAAGATATATATGTGTTTAACATACATGTCAGATAGTTCTCTTTTCAATAGATGCACATTGTTGGGAAATTATTGTTCTCTTTACCATAGCAAGCCCACGTCATTTTGGTTCCATTAGCATAAGCAACATCACTTAAATTATAATGTTGGAATCATGTTAGTATCAGTGATTATGCTGTACATATGAAGTTAGTTAACTGAGTGTCAATCTTGCAAGTATTCACTGAGCGCTTTGATTTGCACTTTTGTAAATTTTGTTTTTTCTTAATGAACAAAGATGTGGTTACAATCATTCCAATAGCTGCTAGATTTTTGGAACAGGCACATGTACAACTGTCAATAATATAATATAATAAAACTTTGTCAATTGTATAAAAATATTATTTTTTGATACCTTCGAAATATTGTTACAAACACATACTCCTATTCAAATATTTCCGAAGTATTGTTACAAAAATAAAACACGAATCTCATCCTATGGCACTTATTACAAATGGCTAGAACCTGATTTGTTGGCAGAGGCATTTGGATACACTTTGGTATGCAATTTCATATTAGTCAGTGAAGCATGGATTCAACATCTTTCTCTGATAATCTCGCCTGTAACCGCTGTAGTTCTGCTTGCAAACTGGAAAAAAACAAGGCCATTTCATAATTCGTCATGCAGAATCAATAAAGTATGAACATTAATACAATGGATAAAATCACGTCTAGACTCTATCTCTTGGGAGTTCACACTTGAGTGATAGTATGTACACATATATACACATCTGTACGTGTGTGCGTGCGTGTGTGTAAGTATATGAATGTATGTGAATGAATGTTGTATGTATGTGTAAGTATATGAATACCTGAATATGAGAAGGGGCCAAGTCCGCAACATAGTGTTTTGAGAAAATGTAAAAAAACATGATGTAAATTTGGTTGAAGGTTTATGCTCCGTAAATCGTATAATTTCTGTGGCATTCTGTATTGTCAGTGTGTTACAGTCATGTAGCTTATGCCACTGCCAGTGGCCACTGCCAGTGCATGTGGTGCTAATAGTACTGTGTAGTTTTTGCTAGCGTTAATTAGTTACAGGTGGCAGCTCTCTATTTCAGCC